GGGGGGGGGGGGGGGGGGGGGGGTAAAACCATAATGCCAAGGTCAAGTTAGGAAATCTAGTTAAGCAACTGTGCCTGCGTTTAAGCAGGAAAAAGTCCCTTTTAGCAGTGCAGCATGGGTTGACAGGATGTTTTTAACCACACTAACCACATTTTGAGCCAACTACTATATAATGGGAGTGGTGCAGAGGGCGTTCCTACAGGTTTTAAGTCTCCTCGAGATCCTTCCTCTCTGTCTGCCTAACCAACTTCTATCTGCTCTCACCAGCACTTTGGGGGGCAGAGGCAAGAGGATTGCCTGAGCTCCAGGGTTTGATACCAGCCTGGGCAACTTGACAAGGCCTTGTCTGCACACTAAAACAAAAAAATTACCTGGGCCTGTACTTCCAGCCACTTGGAAGCCTGAGGTGGAAGGATCTCCTGAGCCCAGCAGGTCGAGGCTGTGTGGGCCATGAGTGTGCCACTGCAATCCCACCTGGGTGACAGAGTGAGACTCCAACTCAAAAAAAGAAAAAAGAAAACTACAAATCAATGTTTCTGATGAAGTTAGTGCAAAAATCCTCAACAAATATTAGCAGAACAAATCCAATAGCACTCAGAAAAAAATAGTACACCATGACCAAATGGGTTTTATTCAAGGAACACAGGTATGGTTTAGTACATGCAAATCAATGCATGTGATCCACCTCATAAACAGATTTAAAAACATCAGCCATATGATCATTTCAATAGATGCAGAAAAAAGCATTTGATAAAATTCAGCATTCCTTCATGATACAAACCCTCAGCAAAATAGGCATGGAAGGAACAAACCTCAATATAACTAAAGTCATATACGACAAACCCACAGCCAATATCATACAGAAGAGGGAAAAGTTGAAAGCCTTCCCCCTCAGACCTGGAACAAGACAAGGATGCCTACTTTCACCTCTTGTATTCAACATAGTACTGAAAGTCCTACTCAGGGCAAGCAGGCAAGACAAAGAAATAAAGGGCATCTAAACTGAAAAAAAAAATCAAATCATTTTTGTGTGCTGATAATATGGTCTTATACCTAAAGACTCCTGCACTTGATAGATGAAGTCAGCAAAGTCTCAGGTTACAAAATACACACATATATGTCAAAAGCACTGCAGTACACCAATAATTACCATGCAGCCATAAAAAGATTATGTCTTTTACAGCGCAACTTGAATGGAAATGGAGACCATAATCCTTAGTGAAGTAACACAGGATTAGCACATGTTCTTACCTATAAATCAAAGTGTCTGCAAAGTGTCTGCAGAGGCTTATAGCATGGTATTATGGACACTGGAGACTCAGAAGAGATAGGATGGGAAGTGCAGAAGGGATGAAAAATCACATACTGGGTACAATGTACACTAGTGAAGGTGACAGGTACATTTAAAATCCAGACTTCTTCACCGCTACATAATACATCTACATAACCAAAAACCAGTTGTACCCCTACTACTACTGAAATATTTTTTAAAAACTTAAAAAGAGAAATAGTCTGTTTAATTAAGCTTTCATGTACCCAAACTATGTTTATAGAATAGAGGCTTCATAGTAATTGTAAGAACCCTGGTCTTTAGAAGACAAAAAATTAGACTTAATAAATAAAGTGAATGTTCAAAATAGCTTTATAGAATGTGTTGGTACTCTTAAGAATGTAAAATTTATTTGGCTTAGCTCTCACTGCTATGTTTTGTAACTTCGAAATTAAGACTTGAAGCCGGGCTCGGTGGCTCAGCCTGTAATCTCAGCACTTTGGGAGGCCGAGGCGAGTGGATTGCTTGAGCCCGGGGGTTTGAAACCAGCCTGAGCAACTTGGTGAGACCTCATCTCTACAATAAATCAAAAACTAGCCGGGCGTGGTAGCAAAAGGAGTGGAGGAGAGGGAGAGGCTTTGGTGGCCAGGAGTGTGCCACTGCACTCCAGTCTGGGCAAAAGAGTGAGACTCCAACTCAAAAAAAAAAGAAAGAAAGAAAGAAAGAAAGAAATTAAGACTTGATTCTGCTCGAATTATGAAGAAAAAATAGCCATAGCTTACTGCAGAAAAACATTGTAAATGTTAGACCTTTTAAGGCAAGAAATTTTAGTAACATAAATGTTACATATGGCAAAGATGTAGGATAACAAAGAAAAATGTGACAATAATCTTTCACCCAAAAATGTTACTTACAGTATTTGCCTAAAGCTAAAATGTATGTCATTGCAAATATATAGGAGGTTTAAGAATTGTTATTTTTTACTTTTTCTCCAATAAGCCAAAATATAATTATGAAGCCAGAAATGTTTCTAAATAAATATGATTAAAATCATATAAAATCACATAAAGATTTCAGAAAGAATGTGATAGCTTGCTGCAGAATAGGTTTAGTTGCATAGGTGTTAGTTGGAGGGACATATTATATATCCTCTGTAATAACTTTTTATTACCTTCTTGTGTATTATCATTTTGTGCACTAATATTTCCATCTATCAAAATCATTTGAATAACCATTCCAGTAAATCTTTATTTTGTAGATTGGAAAAAAATATAGGTATGTTGAATACCTAATATCCATGATTTAAAAAATGTTGCTAAGCTTATTTTCTATTAAATCACTCTTTGTTTATGCCCTGAAAAGTCAAAAAGGCAAAAAAGAAAGAGGAAGAGAGAGAGAAAGAGAGATGAATTTAGAAGCTACAGGAAATTATTCACATCTGCACAACACAACACGTTCTCAGTCCTTTAACCACCTGTGTTAATCTATAATCATAAGTGTTATTCTATAGTACCTTTACACTCAGTGGCTTCAACATACCAGTGTTTGTTCCAAACAGGAAAACATTCTTCTTCATAGCTTTCTGAGATTTTTTTCTTAATTTCCTGGCAACATCTCAAGAGCCTGTCAAGTGTTAACAAGTCAGCTGAATTGGCAGGGTGATCTTCAGAGTTTGGAGAACCCAGGATAGCTCCAAGACATATGATCAGGTTGATGGGCAATTTCAAATCCCAGTATTTTTTGTCATCTGTAATATCTACTGAACCAGAATTCACAAGAGGAAAATAACACCAAATCCTGATTCTTTGGTGAATATCAAATGCACTGCTCTTAGTATTGTAGAAACTTCTGATTCTGAGAATGTTAGTGAGAGATACTTCTCTACAATTTGGGAGTTTTGTTGTTGTTGCCTTTTTTCAGACAAGGTTTATTTAAATCCGAGTCTCTTACACGTTATACCCCCATTTCACACCATGGAAGGTGTCTTAATTTCACCCCCATTACCCCCAAACTCAATGTGTTGTACATGGTAGACATTAAATAAAGATATGCTGAATGAAACTGTCTCTTCTGACATTGTAAGGAAACCCTGCATTTTTTTGGTAGGGGTTGTCAGACACCATGTTTCCTTTTGTCCCAATGAGCCACAAGGTCTCTGAAGTTTGTGTAACTACATCCTGTTGTGCCCAGGTACTTGTAGCTAAGTGCTTGCAGCAGCAGTTGGCTCTACTCAAGTATAAAATGATAAGATATTGAGAACATTAATGCTCCACGATTGCTTCCAGATAAGAGACTTATTGCTCTTATGGTACTCGCTAGGATCATCCTTCCTGAATGTAAAAGGGGTTAGATTTCAAAATGGCTATTACAGAAAAAGTCTCAGTATTCAGACTCTTTTTTTTAAAGCTTACTCTACCAAAACACCAGAGAATCCACAGAAGAAGCCCTAGTTTTACCCACTCTGAGTGTACTGTATGCTCATTAAGGCCAGTTTCCCCAAAGCCCCACACAACATGCATGCGTCTGCCCAGAACGCAGGTTCCTAAACAGCGAGCGGCCTTGCAAACCCTTCCAACCTTCTTTGCTCATGAGCATTCATCAGACTCCTGGAGTCCTTATCACCTTCTTCAGCAGGATTGCAAATGTCCGCAGGAATTGATGCACATTTGGAGAATAGATTCACGACGAGCGTCTTGCTCCTGTCAGCATCCGCAGCTTCGACCTGAGTGTCACAGTCAGGGTGCCGCCCCTGAGAAACAGACGCATCGCGAGCCACCCGCACCCTCTCCCGCCGCGCTCCCCCAGCCAGCCTTAGCGCCCCGTGGAGGCAGAGACTGTGACGCGGGAGCGGTGCCTCGCGGCCTCCTCCACGGCCCAGTTCTCCAGGCCGGGGCCGCCGCGTTCCCGCCGGGACTGCCCCGCGGGATTCTGCGCGCGACGTTTAAGCCCTGGGACCCTTCCCAAAACTCAGGACTAGGGATCCCGGAGAGTAGAGGGGGCACCGACGCCGACGGCAGCGGGGTAGGAGGTCGAGTCCTGCGCGCAGCGCTAAGGGTGAGCGCTGGGAGGGACCGTGGGGGCTGAGAGAGGGACGGGCTGTGGGCCCGCATCCCCCGCCAGGCCTTTCTACCCTCTTGGTGGTCACTGCAACCAATCGGCTTCTGACTAAAAAGGGAACTGGAACTTCTCTAAAGTCTCTGGTCCTTTCCCCACTGGTGCCATCTGAGGCGCGGGACCCCAGGGACTGGAGGGAAAGGTTTCCCAAGTCGCAAGTGCTGGCGAGTAACAGCTTGGTTCCAGCAGTCCCTTCCTCTTAGGTGAGTTACTTCTTTGGTTCTGGGACTGATCTGGAGTCTTGGCGGGATTAGTTGGCAAGGCGCAATGCAGAAAAACCTCAGGCTGGTGAGTGAGGGTGGGGAGGACCCGTAGACACCAGTACTGTTGTTCTTGAAAAGGTTGCTTGAAAAGAGTGCTGTCCTGGACATGTGAAAAGAACAGATCATAACTGAAGGGACTTGTATTTCCCTTGAGTATAATAATTTTTAACAACAGATGTCTGTTAAAATCCGACATTAACTTTATGAATATGTCCTAAGATCAACCTCTGCGTGTCCAGATTCTGTGTATAGCACATAAATCATCTCAAATGAGTCTTCCTGAGTGAGTTTCTTTTCAGGATAGGACACTCAAAGTGACAAGTGTTGCTTATATTCTCAGAATTTTGCACCATCTTTCTCAAGATGAAAGCCCTCAACACTCACACAGCTTGCCAGCTGCATTAACACCACTCACTACTCCAGTGTTCTCGATAACATAAGGTTACTCTTCCTGGAAACTTTTGTCAGGAACTAGAAAGTTGCAAATATCGTTATTGTTTATTCCAGTAACTTCCTCAAAGATCCAACCATTCTTTAATAGAACACATCAGAAAGCAGTTTACCCCCAAGTCTTCTTGAACCCTTGCTTCAAACTCCAAGCCTTGTTTTATCCACCCATTCTAAACTCTTACTCAATGTTTACACAATCCTAACTACTCCTCCACAATTAAAGATCTGACTTAAACAAGACTTCAAAATCTCAATACTTAGCCCAGTCTTGCTCTTCCTTCTCTGAGATACTAACAACATTCCAACAAGTTATTGTTTTGCATGACCTCAGTGAGCAATAAATATTGCTTTCTCTTGCCAACAGGTTGTTTTGGTGATATTTCTGGAAGCCAACATTTGACTCTCTTGGAGGCCCCCTCAAGAACTTATCAGTCTCTCCTGCTGAAACCACAGCTACCATCCTCCACTAAGAATCACTGCATCCTGCAGAGGTCCTTTTGGCCTTCTCTTCAGGGGCTCTCTAACCTCACAGGTGAGGAAGGTGATCTTGCATTATCAGATTGAACCCCAGTTTCTTTTCATTGTTTTTTTCTAGTCTCAGTTTCCCTAGGAGTGAAGAAACCTGTTGGGAGCCAACATCTATAGCTACATGGCTGAGACCTGTAAAGGCCCATCTGGAAGATTGCCTCTAACATAGGATATCTCTTATACCTATAATATTGGCGTGTGATTAGTGACCAGTGTGCATACATGGCAGTAAAACTTATAAGTAAATATCAATATGCCTGATGGAGAGTGCACAGCAGAATTATTTTTCTCTGTCTCTCTAAGTTTTACTTCTTTCTAGATATTTTTTAACTTCTATTTCCTGGTAGACTGGGTAGTCAGCTCTTGTTCCCGAAAGTAGTTTCCCCTAGGGCTAAGATTAGAAACTAAATTGCCATAATGGTTTTGTCGCCCTGCCCCTAGCCAGGCAGAACATTTTCTTTTGTTTCGTTAATTACCGAAACTCTGTCCGCTTCAGCCCATGGCCACCATCATGGCAGCCATGCATTTCCTTGTTCAAGAGTGTGATAGCTACTATTTGATTTTTAGAGTAGACTTGTTAGGATAAAATATATACATATACACTCATAGTTGCGCAAATTTATGCTTGCTGTTTTGTTTCCTTTTGCTACATTATTCAAATATAATAGTTACTATAAGATTTATAAAAGAATTAAAGATGAGGTATTAGCTTAATAGGACATAGCATAGTATTAAAGGTCAATCATTAGATTATATAAAAATTAAAGTTTAGACATATGAAACTCATATGAATTATAGTAAAGTTTGGTAGTTTAGGAATAAGTTTTAACTGAGTTATAAGGCATTACGTTAAATCATAATAGGATAATAGTATAACTAACAGCTAAGTCATTTAAGTAAACGTATAGATTATAGTATAGTGTTAAGTTGATAATATTAATCGTTAAAAAATATTAGGAGTCAATGAACTTGGATTGAACCTAGAGTTAACTTAGAAAGTTTTTTGTATTAATCAGGGTTTAGAACAAAGAGTATAATATGAATGATTTATTGAACATTATGGAAAACACTTTGAACGATCTGTATTGAAATTGTGCACCTGTGACCTTAATGTGGGTTTTGTGAAGCACGACAGGCATAATGGAATTCGAATTGTTTGCTTGGAACTTGCAAATCTCGTGATGGTCTTGGGATGCATAGTTTGTAAAGCACAGAACTTGTACACCCCCAGCAAGTGATTATCACACTGCTGGAGGGTATAGAAAATGGTATATAAGTTGGAAGGAGTTCAAATAAAATTTGGCTTCAGTCCTGATCAGACTGTTCCCAGAAGAACTGCCTCTGAGTGGTCTCTTCTCGCCGTCCAGATTCTCCGGTGCGGGTCCTAATCCTTCCCTCCAAGGTCGGAGCGGGTCTCCAACAGAAACCTTTGCAGGAGTCCTTTTGATTGTCTCACCAGACTTTTAAAAGCTTTCATTCTTGGTGAAAAACCTGCCTTATTACTAACTATATTACAATTTGTCTTTATTCTGGTGATTTATTGTTGCACTTGTGTAAGAGAAAAGTTTATTGGGAAGACAACAGACTCAGATAAGTCGACTTCTCAAGCTGACCCTGAGGACTAACAAGTTCAGAAGATTTTGCTTCAGACTCTTGGGGCTGTCTGAAATAAACAGTCAACTATTTCCCACTGGAGCCAACAAAGGCCCCAAATAGCCAGTCTGACCACTTCCTCTATTGTCCTCTAAGGCAAAGTACTGGGAAGTGGCAATTGGGAAGGCGGGCAGGAGACTTAGGCAGGAGGCCTGGTGGATGTGAAAATGAAGGAAGGTAACCTATTGGCCCACTGGATTACAGTTCCCAAAAGGCAGGCAATCCAAACTCTCAGTCCCACTTGTCCCCATTCCTGCTGAATCTGAGCAGACATGGAGCCCTTTCCCTGGCCAGGCTAACTGAGTCTCTGCAGAGCTCTAGAGTCCTTGGCTTCCTCCAGTAAGAGCTGGACCTGCATTGTAGCCCGGGTTAACTTTTGATTGTGGCTGTGGGTGAGGCATACAGCCGAGTGGGTGAGCGAGCTGGGTACTCAGGTGGTCCTCCAGTGGACCAGAAGGAAATCCAAACCTTCCAGTCAGGGAGGGAAAAGGGCTTGGAGACTCAGTGGTTAGGACCTGACTGTGCTGCCCTTTTGGGTTCCAGGAATGTGTAGGTTTTATTTAAGTGGCTGCTTCATGTCCTACTGTGTGTTTTGGGGAGCCTGGTCTTGGTGGGCTGATGTGAGGCTATAGTCAGCATCAATTTCAGACACTGGATGGCTACAGGAATAGGGGCAAGTGGGAGAGTGTGGGAGTACAAGGCAGGGGGAGGGGAGAGAAGCTGAGACAGAAAGGGGGGGAGGGAGGGATGGCTAGATAGAAGCCCAGGAGAGGAAAGGAGGAGAGAGGGAGAGAAAGAGCTAGGAGGGAGGAGGAGAGAAAGAAAGAAGGAGGAGGGGGGAGAAAGAGGGAGTGATGGAACGAGAAACAGGAAGAGAAGACAGAGTGGAGGAGAGGGAGAGAAACAGGCAGTGGGAGGTATGGGGGGAGACAGAGAAACATGAAGAGAAGTGTGAAGGAGTGGGGGAGAGGACAGAAGTAGCTAGAGAGGCAAGAAAAGAGGAAAGCAGGAAGAGAGGCAGGGAGGGAAAAAGAATGCAGAGAGCTGGAGAGAGACAAATAAGCAGAAAGAGAACAGAGAGGGAAGAGGAAAAGGTAGGGAGAGGGAGAGATGGGCAGAAGCAGTGAGGGAGGAGAAGCAGGAAGTGAGGCAAATAGGCAGGGAGGAAGGAGAGGGAGAGATGAAGAGGGAGGGAGCGAAGATATGGGAGAAAGGAGGCGGGTGGGAGGGGGAGAGAGGCAGGGAGGGAGAGAAGCAGGAAGAGATGGAGAAGTGAGGAGTGGAGGAGGAGAGAGAAGGAGAGATGGAGAGAGAAGGAGAGATGGAGAAGTAAGGAGTGGAGGAGGAGAGAGAAGGAGAGAAGGATGATAAGAGGGAGAGAGGCAGTGGGAGGAAGGGAAAGAGGTAGAGAGAGAAACTGGAAGATTGGGAGAGAGAAGGTGGGAAGGGGAGAGAGGTAGTGAAGGAGAGAGAAAAGCAGGAAGAGACTGGGAGACAAGGAGTGAAG